TTTTATTTTATTTTATTATTTTTAGTTTAGTTTATTTTATTTTATCTGCCTGAAGTTGATAAACATTTCAGTTTAGGACATGGGACCCTCTGCTCTTTTGTGTTAATATAAATCAACAGTTATCGATGAATTAAAATATAAGAGCTTCTCACACCTGAAGCCTCTAGCCATGAGGGAGGTGAAATATAAAACTTTGTGCTATATGGTGTTTGACAACATAAACCAAAATCATATCAAGTCAAATGGAATAGATTGTTTCCACAAAAATGTATGCACCAGATTTATGATAGTAAAAAGAGAAAACAGGATCCTATTTCATCATTCAAATGATAAGAAGGAGCTTGTTTTAGGAACTAATACATATGAAATATTTTACAGAGAACAAAAAAGCATCAAGATGCATTACAAAAAAGCGATAGACGATTACAGAAAGGCAGTAATCTGTATAGTATTTTTTGGAGCCAGCTATTATCACTTGCTTTCAAGTCCTGGCAATGTCAATATTCTCCAGTTTGATTGGTGACCAGTCTGAACTTATCCTAGTTGCTTTTAGGAACAAAGACAAGAGAATGGCTACCTCTATTCATCTATTATTGTTTAAATAGCTGTCACAGCTTCCAGGATGTCTGTTTCCATGTTATCTGGTGAAAGAATAAAATAGAATGGCAACAAACCAAATACAATGAAAAATGTTCGTTGTGTTTGGCCCAAACCAGCTGCTGTTCGCAGATAAAATCTGGTTTGAACAAAAACAGGTGAATTTTGGAAATTGAGGAACAATGGATGGAGTGGATGTAGCATTTACAAATATTTTAAAGATATGTGTTGCATTCAGACTTGCCTATTATGGTGATTTAGTTCATATGTCAAGGCACATATTCATCTCTGCTCAAATACTGTAGAGGCTTGGGTAACAGCTTGTCCTATCCTTGTTTATTTGTTAATTTATAACGTCTCAGTTCCCAGCACAAGCCAAGACAGGCCTGGACACTTCTTTGTTCTGCCTTGTTCGTTCTTTTTTTTCTCCTTTCTTTACACTGTTGTGCTCCCAACTCTGACAATGGAGTTGTAGATTGACCCTCTTTCCCCTCTTGCCCTAACTTGTCTTCGAATGCTTCCTCTGATGCATTTAGACTGAAAATGCCAAATCTCTGTTTCCCAGCAAGGGCTCACCATTTTTGCAGCATTGCTCTGCTAGTAGGTTAAGATGAACATTAGTAGCTCCTCTGCAACAGTTTAAAAGATGTTAGGCCAACGATTATTTGGAAACAAAGGTATTTCATTGTATTGAGAAAAGAGGACTTCTGCAGGAATGAAAGATTTTTAAATGCCTTAATGGCGAGAGGTCATGTTATTTTGCTACTAAGATATGTGGTTATGTTTTAATTGGCTGTGTTTACAATGTGGTTTTTCTTAAAAATGCATTTTTTCAAGATTCCCTCAATCGTCGCTTATCTCACATCCACAAATATCCATGCTTCCTGTGTATAATATGTACATTTGCTCTGTTTCAAACATACTCACACTCAAAGTTTATTTCACATGGGACATCAAGAAAACAAAGTCACATTAGTCTGCCTTTTTTTTCCGAGTTGACATTTCATTAAAATAGGTTCATAGTAAGTTCAGCTCTCTAGTCTTACCCTTCAGTGTAAATTTGTTTCTGTTATTTATTATAACACAAGAGTTTGAATATTATTTTGAGTTCATACCATTTTAACCTTTTTTGAGTTACTTTGCCTATTGCAAAACCATGCCACACATTGTTAGGAAAATCTTTGCAAACCTCACAATTTGTTTTGAGCACGCACATAGTACAGAAAACTTAACATATATTTAATTTTCAAGTAGTAGTACAGTAAAAAATGTAATCCCTTCCTTAAATTCTGTGACAAGACCTGTGTTAGGGCCTTTCTATATCTCAGCAATTACATGGAAGAGCATGGTTTTTAAGCGAATTAAGGCTTATGGAATTTTTAAGTGGGTCAATTTTATCTAATATGTTTTAAAATATTTTGGCAATTTGAGACTAAAATATTAGTAAGATTCTAAGTTGTCTTTGAAAGTGTGAGCGGTCATTGGTTCCTTTCTCTGACAAACCCAGAGGCAAAAGATGTCTTTTTTAGTTTACTTTCTCATTTATACGGATCAACTCTGCCATGCATACTAGTGATCAGACTCTTTCTTGCTATACCATACAAGTCCAATACCTTCACTGGAACCTCTGATACAAAGAATTCTGTGGCCAAAAAACTCAGTGACATAACACAGAAAAGGTTTTGTAATTTTTTTTATTTTTTTGTATTTAATGTTGGGTAGGAATAATTTTAGAAAGCCATGTTTTCAGCAGAGGAAAAAAGAGTTTTCAGCTATGCAGTAATATTGTGTAGTGTTTATCAGTCTATTGTCTAACCAGTTTTATTTAAGTTTTGCTTCGTTTCTGTTGATTAATGAAAGCATAACAATTCTGACATCCATTTGGAAAAAAACATTTGGTAATGATTTTTCACACTACAGTAGAATTTGAAAAGATGAACTAGCAGGATGATTTGAGAAAAGTAAGTGAGTTTGCAATAATCAGGAATACCTAATTTATTTTTTCTAATGAAGTGGTGAATATTTCTGTAGTATTTTAAAAGTTGGGAAGAAAAGAAAAAGTCATATTTAGGGACAAACTTCAGTATGTTACTGCAAAACAGCTACAGAGATATCCATGGTGCTGTGGGGTAGCATGAGGACAGAGGATACATCCACAGAGTACATTTTTCAGAGCCTGCTCTGAATCTGGGTAAGGTAGATAGATAGGAAATGGTTCAGTCATCTACAACCAGTTTTTCTCAGCACTTTGTGACATGACTAGAAAACATAAATACAGCTTAAAAAATCTTTCATATCTCTGAATGGGCGGAAGCATTCCTTGGTCAACAACAATTCCTTTCACAAAGCTTACCTTGGTAAGCTTTTGAATGGTGACTTTATGAGAAAGCGGTAATTGTGGCACATACTGTGACAAATAGGGGACATGAAATGGGGTCTTGCTCCTTGTGTAGGCTACTCTCAGCCTAAGCCACAGTGAAGTAGGAAGAACAGCTTCCATGGTAGGACTGATCTCACCAAAGGTAGATCATTCCATCTGAGCTAGTCAGCTTAGGCTTCTCTTACAGTCAACAGACATTTCTGGAGGAAGATTTGTGTCCTCCTGCAGTAGATGCCTAAGACAGTTCAGATGGATTAGTACCTTAAACAGGTTTCTGCTTCTCTCCACTGGCTATAGAATGAGCTAAGTGGGACCAGCCCCGAAGCAAATGTCCAAATGCCTGTTTGGGTATTTCTGTAGAGGGACATAGTGGGTGAGACTTTTACTCTATCACTGTAAATACTGGCCAGCATGACAGAGCTGGTGAGGAGATGGGGCAAGAAATCTGCACCTGAACGTGGTTGATGGAGGTGGCTTCCTGCTGGAGTAATGGTGGATAGGAACTGCTGGGATGAACTGGGACTGAGTTACGGTTTTCTGGTCCTGGGGTTGTCAAAGCCTACACTCAAACACTTTGTTGCTGCAGATTTCAATTTTCCGGGTCCTAGACCACATCCACTTAAGAAAATACTGCACCCCAGTCAAAGAGAGAGCTCTTTTTAAGCAACTAGGATCAGAACTTTCATATACAATTCCTAATGTACCTGATGGGATAAATAGAAATATGTAACTATTACTGAAACTATAATTAAAGGCAGTGCAGAAATAAAAAGAAATTAAAATACCCCAAAACATATATATCTTATAATGATCAAAGGCCAAATGGAAAAGAGCAAGTCTGACAAACTCTTCTGTAGCCAAATAGCTGCGCAGAGATCTGCATAATACCAAGAGTACATTCTGATGTCCTTCTATTGTATTGAGATATATCAATATGTGTCAGTTAATGACTGAGCCCTTGGTAAAAAGAGTATGTATAGATATATGAATCTATATATATATGTATAGATAGTTTTCCTTTTGAAGAATTCAGATTAACATCTGGTGCAAAGAAATTGACCTAAATTTCTGTATCATATCAACAGTAGTCTAAAAATATTTCAAAATTTTTAAAAAAAACAACACAGGGTATTGAAGTTTCTATTAACTGTGAGTTGGTTTTTTTTTTTTTTCACTTACTTTATAATCCGTTCACAGATTATCTGTGAAACTTTAATCTTAGAAGTCTTCAAGCTGTGGGAGTTTTTTCCCATTGTGATGTCAGAACTGATCAGATCTGATTGTTACAAAGATCCCACTAAGGAGTTTAACACTAATTGTAAGAAGATGTCCGTGCTTAAAAAAATTAGGCCAGTGATTGTAACCATGCTGTTAATTTCATGTATTGTTCAGAGCATGTTTCAATTGTGGGAATCAGGTGTATTTTCTTGATTAAAAATGCATTGAGGAGCTGTAGTTTTCCTCTGTGTTGCAGAATTTTCTGAGCTGTAAGTGAAACCATTAAGAGCAGGAAGGGTTAATTGCATGGGAAACTTCATATTCAAATACTTCTCGTATACAAAATATATGTCATGCTAGAAAATATTCTATTGTCAATCTAAATAGAGCACAAACTAAAATGAGATAATTGGGAAGGTGCCCATAAAGTCAGCCTGAATATATTATCACAAGTATATGTGAGATAATATTTGTTTTAAAAAGATTCTATGGCACTGTAAACTCAGTCTCATTAGAGACTGCATTTAAAAGGCTTATAAAGTTACTCATTAATGTTATCTTGTTGTATCTCCACAGCTTTTTCATTAAAGAAAATTCAGCAGAAAGCATTTTCTCCTGATAGCAGGAACCAATTTGCAATAAATGTTCTGGAAACCACTAGGGAAGCCATTACTGAGGTCTAATAAAAACAGACAAGCGTAACTTGTTCTATATTTTTGTTTCAATCACATACAGATGAGACCCCGCTCTCCACACCAACCGCAAGAGACAGCCTTGACAAACTTTCTCTAACTGGGCATGGGCAACCACTACCTCCGGGTTTTCCATCTCCTTTTCTATTCCCTGATGGATTGTCCTCCATAGAGACCCTTCTGACTAACATCCAGGTAGGCCTTTCTGTAGATCAGCTTAAAGGGATGGAGAAGAGCCAGTTGCAGATTTGTCTAAATTAATATAACCATTCTATCTTAATCAGTTCATAAGATTATTTGGATTAACTAAATACTGAAACTTTCTAGTAATTCAGGTTTTAAAGGAACCACAGCAAAGAAATGAATTTAGAAGCTGTCAGATATAGTAAATAAAAATACAGATTGTATATTAAACCACAACAGATAATTCGACGAAAATGACATTGGTGTATTTAACAACATTTGTCTTAAATGTTTTTTTTTTGATTACAGGCTAATGAAATGTATCTTATTGTTTAACTTTATCTCATTTACTAAGCAGAGAAACGTTTCTTTAATAAATAGTTATTTTAAATTGCTGAAGTGCCAAGGTGGAAATTATATTTAGAGCTATTTGAAATGTGTGTCCCATAAAAGTATTCACAAAAAGCACTTCTTTTGTAAATAAGCTTGTTTCACTTAAAGTACTGTCTTCAAAGAACAGACTTCAAAGGGTATTACCAAATTTTCTGCAAATTTCTTATTTGGTATTAACGATGTCTACATGTGTACAGTAGAGCTTGATTCAAGTATTATTTAAGGTACACACTAGCATGTAGCTTGGAGCCAAGATCTTAGCGTTTCATATTAGAATGAAGAATTTTTTTGCCCACAAATTCAGTGATCATGTGTTCCCCAGATGCAACTTCTGCAACAATATGGTTGTATGTTGCATGCAGAGGAAAATGATAGTGCAGGAAATAATGCAGCCATATTGTACTGATTCCAGATAAGCCTCATCTGTGCAGCTACTAACTTCTAATGTATTTGTCACAATATTTTTCCCTGCTTACTCCTGCAAGCACAATAAATCAGTTGTATTCTATTCAGCAAAGGCTATGACAGAGCAGGGACAAATCCTGCTCTCTTTACTTTCTTAAGCAATCTCATTAAAATTTATGGCACATCAGAGTTGTTTTATGAAAAGTATATGAAGTATATGTTGGTGATGTTTTGAGATCTTATAATGAAAAAATATTGCTATTTAAGAATTAAATATTGCTATATCTACCTGGTCTGAAAGAGCATGTTTGTGGTTGTTTTTTGTGGTTCTGAGACTTAGGTTCTTCAAAATTTAATCATAAACTACAGTAATTCTACAACAGTTATCATTCTTCTAATAGATCTGCTGCAATCTGTAAAGAATGTAATTTTTCCTAAAGGAAGAAATACAGTTAGCAAAGTATGTAATGTTTTAGCTGTGCATGCATGTACAGGAAAGTTCTTAGTAATTTTTTTGACAAATGTGTGCACTCAATGTCTCTAGACAGCAACTTAATAAGCAAAGCATTCAGCATCAACAGGTTAGCTAATCTTGTTATTGAATATGAGAGTGCTGCACTACTTCAGGATAAGCAACCAGGATTAATTTGCAAGGAATGCATTGTTTTGTTTTACAGAAAATGTGAATGTGAAATTCAGTCATTGCTTTTTTTTTAAAAAAAAACCAAACCAAACCAAACACCTTATTCTTATCTGGAGTGAAGAGCTAAAATAAAAGACAACATCATAAAGAAACCAGAGACTTCTTTATGCCTTCTCTCATTGTGCTTTTTTACTTGCTGCTCCTTACCTTGAGGTTCCACATCACAACAAATCATCTATCAGGGTGAACAGGTGGGACACAAGCCCTTTTGGATTTTTTCAGTACGTCTCCACGTCGCATGACATGGTTTCCACAGATCTCTGGGAATCCTTTCATATACCATAAAGGCATTTTTTCTCCCCATGGATTTAATCTCTATCAGGACAATGTTGGAAAACCACTTCATAAAAAAAAAAAAAAAACCTAGCTAGTTTGAGTTTCCCACCTGTATAGAAAAAGTTAAGTATTATCTTTAAAACAGTAGAGTCTATTACAGTAACCTGTGCACAATAGGGGAACTACGCCTGGCCCACAAATGAGTTAGATACTATGATACTGACACTTTCAGAAATGAGTTGTAGGTATTTGACTACAAGTGTGAACTCATTAACAGGATTTGTGGAAAGAAGAAATTCTGTACTATGGTACCTGCTTGCAATATCATTTGGACTTTATTAGGAAATGCATAAGCACTACCTGAAACTCAACAATGAGTTTCATTCAACGGGTCAGAAGGACTCTTATCACTGGGTGAATTCTTCTTTTCTCTCCTTTGGTCCAGATGAATTTAGCATCCCTTTCAGTGCACAGGTGTGGATTCAAAGGGAAGGTGAAGCAGGAAGATCCCTCATCAGCCTGATCTAGTTGAAGGTGTCCCTGCTCATTGCAGGGGGGTTTGGACTAGATGACCTTTAAAGGTCCCTTCCAACCCAAACTATTCTATGATTCTGTAATCTTGTTCCAGCTATGATAGCATTAAAGGTAGAGGTTACCAGCAAAGATCTAACTTTCTAGAAAAGATCATCTGGCCTACAGTCTGTTCCCTGCCTCCAGTACTAAGGTGCTTTTGAAACAGAAAATCTAGCCAAAGGCTAGATGAGTGGTTTTGGTAAACGCTGTTCTTTTTATCCCGGGGTCATGCATGACAAAAATACAATTGTGTCCTTTCACAGAAAGGGTATACATCTATTTGTGAAATGCAAGTGTACGTCTTCCTTAGGTCATGGGACTGGCATGTGTGCATGACCTGCCACCTGTGGCGATGGAGGTTGCCTATATTTTAGGGATATGATGGTCACATTAATACATAAGCAAGCAGCCCCTGGCTATACCGATGTGCATGGATATGATAGTAGATACTTTTGCTCTGATCCTGTTGTCTATATTCAGTTGTGTGATGTGCAGGATCTGAAGGATCTGCATAATATAGTCCTTGGGTGCCTCCAGAAGAAGTTGTAGAGTCTGTCCTGGTTTAAAATAGAACAGCATTAGGGTACTGTACGGGCATTTTGACCTTTGTCAGGGTGAGGGTGATCCTAAACCTTGCCACAGGCACAGTGCTTTTGGATATGTGAGCCAGAACTTCTAAACACTTTTGATATGTGAAAACAAAAGTCTTGCAGGTGCTCAAGAGCTTAGATGATTGAACTTACTGCCTAACTCTACTTACTTGTATTTTAGAAGTCTGAACCATCCTTTAGAATTGGCAATTAAACACAAACGAGTCTCTGTCTTCCGACCATACTGAAGTTAAATGGATAGCCCCTAATCACCATATTTGTAATTTTAGGCAAGTGTTAGACAAGCCTGTTTGCTATCACTGTCACCAGGGCCTTCTAGTTAGTTTTATTTCCTTTTGTATAGCACGTATATGTTTTTCTTACTTCTCCATAAATACCTTCTGCAAAAAAAATACAGTGTTTAATTATTTGTACATTTAAAGAGGAGATAATAACAATATACAGTACCCAAAACAACCAAAGTTTATTTCTTGCTGGGGACTGCTGAAATACAAGTAATAAACTGTAACAAAATATAATTAAAAAAATACACACATAAAATAAAGAAATGAGATTGGGGGCATATTTTCTTATTCAGATATATCTATGCACATCTAAAAGGAAGAGAAAAGAAATTTCCCAAGAGCTTAATTTAAGTGATATGTCTGTTCTCTCCCAATGTATATTTGTTGTTTTCTGCCAGATTAAATGCTGGAAGTCTGTGTGCAGCTGCAGAGAGGATGAAGGGTGATGGAAGGTGGGTCACAGCAAAATGCTGTGTGGGTGCTAGTGAGAAGGCTAAAGATGCTTCCATACCCCTTGCATAAGTTCACCTTTTTGAGTCATGGCCCAGTTATGCCAAACTATGTTACAGCCATAGCCTTTCATGATACTGCAATATTCTTGGGTAATAGTAATGTTATTTTAAGCTCTAAGAGTCTGAATCTTTACTGTCCCTGAGCTGAATTTCCATTAATCTAAGGGATGAATTAATTGCACCCTGATAGCTAACAGTTTTCTGTCAAGACTGTATTATATTGACACAGTCCTGTTGCTAAGTATTTTAAAAGAGATATGTAAAATAAGTTGCAAGTATCCCATTGACACTAATAAAAGAAATGCATGATTACAAACTAAATTCCCCTATGAAAACAGAGCAAACTACTGGCTTTATTGCTCTGAGTCTCCTGCACTGTTACCATCTACAACTACATACACAAGAGAAAAATATTGGAAACACTGCCTAAAGTAAAAATCACAGGTTTACTTCAGGTTATTTTATTTATCTTCTGCTAAAATTCAAGAGAACAGTTTTATTTTTCACAGAAAATGTTAATGGAAAAATGTCATTTATACTTGTGCAATATGCCTTTACCTGTGATGGAGATATTCAGTCTGAGATATTACAAAAATGTCTTTCTGGAGTCATCTGTAGAGTTAGTCAAGCTGTGTTACCTTACGTTGCTTATGTCACTAAGTCAGTAGTCAGTTACAAATAGCAATTATTCAAAAATTTACCTATGAAGAAAAGTTAAATACTAATGTATATGTGGATTTTTTGCAAGCCTTCACCAGATAGTTTCAATGATGAAAGCATACAAATTATATACAATTTCCAGACTAAAAGAGAAGCAATGCTATTTGAAAGTGTTTTCACCACGAAGAGCTAATATTGCAAAAGGAAGCCCCTGAGCTACAAATCTCTGGAAGCTAGGAAGTGTGAGTAGGAAAGCTGCATTGTGTGCATGCCTTGTTCTTCGTTTTCCTTCTTCACTCACTGTAGGCAATTATTGGAAACAGGATACAATCTTCTATATAGACCACTGGACTAGCTTGTAAGGCCGTTTTGATGCCACATGTAACAGTGTAGCTAACTAAATTCTGTTAGGTGGAACACACTGTAGATGTAGCTAGAATGAGAAAGAGTTTCTATATACCTTCCCCTCCAGCCCTTTCAAAATAGCCAACACATTATTTGCATTTTTCAAAAATAATGATGCGTAGTACTGGCTTTAAGGCTGAGTTGAGGTTTTATATATGTTTAGGATCAGTAGACTGCCCTAACATGATGTTGCTTTCAGATACATTGGAGAATGGGAAGAAACATCAACCATATATCAACTTAACTTTTTATTTGGGACATTTCTGAAGAATTTATCAGTGGAGAATATCAAAACAAGTGCATTAAAGTAAACAAACCAAATCAGAATGATCTATAAATCTCCAAAGAAAAAAATGTCAATTTTTTACATTACATTGAAATAAAAATAATATTATTAACAGTGCTACAGAGGTGAAGAATGGCATGCCATATATAAAGCCTGGCTACAGATAGAGCCATACTGTATTAAAAACAGATCTGGAACCTGAGCATGTTCACTACAATTATCATTATCCAGCCTCCATAACATCTGACCTTCCCTAAAGGGAAATACTTTCTTTTTGTTAATGTCCTGTGTTGCACTGCTTTTCCCATTGTCATTGGCAGCATATTGATTTAATATCAGGTTAGAGGATTAGCCATAGCAAATACAAGTTGGACATACTGTATTTTGTATAATCTTTTACAGCTGATCCACTGGGAGAATTAATAGAATTTCATGCAACTCTGAAATTGCTATTCCTGTTCCAAGGGGCACTGATGATTTTTAGATGCTGTACTTTTTAGTTGTTTTTCTCACCCCCTTCTGCATTGAATACAGGAAGATATTGAATGTTTCCAGTATTTTTGCATTAGAGCTGTCATTGGCAACAACAGCACTTTTGCATATGCATCAGTTTGGCTCTAGTGCAGATTTTTTTTCACATTGGACGCCTACTGATGTGCACTGATTTAACTTCTAAAAATGAAACTTAATTTTGTGTAGCTTATAAGTAGTCCCTAGTGGGTCTTGGCTCCAAAAAGCTAATATTTTTCAGACATAATCAGCAGCAATAGGTAATGTATAACCATTAGCTACGTTAGCAGCAAGTATAAAAAAAGGAAAGGTTGGGGAGGAAGTGTGGTGTAGAAATTCAATCGAAAATGTAATATGCTTTTAGCAGCTTCGTACTTTGCAGCAGTTCTTAATATAAAATTACAGACATCAGTGTTACAGTCTAGCATTATTCTCCATGTTTATTCATAGTGATTGTTTCATATTTAACGAACACCAAAATATTGTGTTTTGTCAGCCAAGGACAATAATAGTTTAATAGTAATTTATTTTAAACTGCTACTGATAATACAACCAATCAACACATTAAGTGATGCCAACATTGGCATCTTGCTAAGTAATCTCTAGGCTTTGCACTGAGAGTACATCTTTCAAAGATAAGTCAACAAGAGCAATCAGAGCAGAAAATTAGAATTTGGTATCTTAGAATTAAAATACAGCTAAACTAAAGTTTTAATTGGGGTGATCTAAAAGGGCACTTGATGTAATGATCTCTTTCATTTGTTACTAATTGTTTGTTCCTGATGAAGAAGAAACATGTACATGAATGTAGTTGAATTGAGTAAAGGTGGCAGTTGCTTTAGCAACTCAATTTTATTGTTAAACAAGATGGACTGTAAGAATCTGGGAGGAGGGTGTTTAAGCTTTAAACTTACTTGACAATACACTTTTCATCAACAAATACTTTTCATATAATTTCACTTGATCTGGTTTATTAGTGATTTGGATGAGTCACATGTTCCAGCAAGTGATGAGTTGGAGGAGATTAAAATATTCTAGAGTTCATGCATAAACAAGAAACAGGAATTGATAAACAACTTCTACTTTAATTTCTTACTATTTCAAATGCATCTCATATAGAAAACAGTTTGTGACGGTTGTAAGCATAGGAGAATATGGCAGGAGGAGAACAGAATTCAGGTGGATATTAACCTTTTAAAAAAGAGATTGGAAAGGCTTTATAAATATTTTAAATTGTTTTTTACTTTGCATATGTTTGTAGAGCTTTATATTTAGCTTTATGTGGTTTTCTTTAGTGGTCATTCAGGTTTAACATTCAACAAAAATATCTTTATGTTTTATCTATTTTAGAATAGCTTTTGGTTCTTTTAAAGCAGTTCTATACTTAGGTAGTGTGTATCATTATAGTGACCATCTGGGCCTTGCAGTCGGAAGGTGTTGAGTTCTTTCAGCTCCTGTGGACTTTAATAGATTGAAGTGTAATAAAGCTGCAAAGCATTAAGCTCTGAATGAGACAACACTTGAGGCAACAATTTAGTTAAGAATGAGGATGAGGAGTACTGAAAATAACAGGCTCTGAAAGCAGATTTAAAAGAGGAGTTTGAAGGACACAAATTTCAAAGCAGGCATTGACATCGGGAAGACCAGTGGGATAAAAGTGCAGGCTAACACTCATGAAAAATACTTTCTTCATTTCTCAAGTATCATCATGCTGGCTTCTTTTTCCATTCCTTTTTGGAGATATGGCACAGAATTTTAGTGAAAAAATGTGCAACCCAGAATCCAATTTGGGAAGTGTGCCTGAAGGGTGAGGAAGCTTGCTTGGCAGTTGGTGAACGTGATTTCATGTCTGTAGTATGGTTGTTCTGAAACTGGGTCTTGAGTGTGAACCTTTTATCCATTAGCTGAAAGCTTCCCTTTTTGGGGAGTACTCTTCAGCCTCTCTTGTTGGCATTGTTTTGCTTTATATCAGTAATTAAATCTCTGTTGGGTCAAATTATCTCTGCAGTTAAGTCGTCAGGAGACATGCCTAGGATACAGAAGAGTTAGGTTCATATCCATGGAGGTTCATATATGCATATCCATGCTTAATTATCTATTATGATAGCCTCAAGAGAAGAGATTCAGGTGTAGGCCTAAAAGCCTGATGACCATGCTTCTGGAAGATGGAAAAGGAAATCTTTCCTCTTTCTGTGTTCCTTTATTTCAATCCCATTTCACCTCCTCTTTTTCATACCCTATGTCAGTGTCCTAACTATCTGGTTATTAGCTATGCCAGGATCTTCCTGCTTCCTTGCAAAAAAGAAGGAATTTTGAAGTTGAAATTCTTAAGAAAAGTTTAGAAGAGGCTGAATTATTATTTCCAGATACGATAACAACAAAAAAAGGTAGAGTTTATACCAGCCATCCCAGGTCAAGAAACTGAGAGACGATTGCATTTTGTTCTCTGCTGTGAGTAAACAATTGTACAAGGTCAGGGAATGGACTTGTTTTAATACAGAGATGTCTTCCTGCTTTGTGACTGTCCTCTGCTTAGCATCCCAATAATGTTACCTTCCTTGGAAACTGTATGGGATATGAAAATATTTAAAAATAATAGTACTTAACAGCAATAAGGAGCAAAATGGCAAACTTTAAAAGAGCCTTTCTCCCTGTGGTAATTTCCATTGGCTTGAGTTGTGCTAGAGATTGAATTTTCCATTCTGTCGATGATAGGATCGTGAGACTGCCAGTTCTTTATCAGTTGGACAGCTTTTTGTTTTGGTCACAGGCAAGTGCCTGATGTAAGCTTGTCTTTTATCTTTTACAATGAATAAACATATCCCTATACTTTTTCACATTAGTTATATGCATGGTCAAAGGTGAGTTTGCGTTTTCTGGGGAAACTTGGCTCCCAGCTTTTTACAGATTTTTGCCCACCTGTAAAATTAATTCCAGTAAAAATTTACTGTTGATAATTGGGAGGCTTTGACTCAGTAACAGGATTATTTAATTTGTAAAATCTCACATGACTAATCAAGGAAAAATAACAGAAGTTATTTATTGTCAGCTGTTTTAACATTCTTCAAAAATTATCCAACTTTTTCTTTGAACAGGGTCTACTAAAGGTTGCTATAGACAATGCCAGAGCTCAAGAGAAACAGGTCCAACTGGAAAAGACAGAGCTGAAGATGGAGCTCTTCAGGGAACGAGAACTGAGGGAAACACTTGAAAAACAGTTGGCTGTGGAGCAGAAGAACAGAGGTATCTTACTTAAGCAGACATAAATACCTTGTAATTTATTTCCTTAGGAAACCTGATTTTTTATCAAACACCTTTGTTTGATCAAAACTTTTCCCCCTTACCTCATCTTATGTCCAGACTGACTGCAATGCAGGAAGTTTTACAACCTGTCTGATTCTGCATAGGATCTTCATGAGATGTAGAACAAGTATCTTCCTTTTTCTCAACATTTTTCTTGAATATTACTTGTGACATGAGTAATACACAACATAATTATAGATACCATAGGTGCTGTTACAGACTTCGGCAGATTGTGTCATTATGAAAAAGGATAGCTACTTAATACAAAGACAACTTCTATCAAATTTAAGAATCTGCAAGGTTTTAGGAACTCTTGTCTCTGTTCTTATGTGCTAGGGTCATTGTCATGTCATATATTGCATATTTAGGGAAACTGTATGTAATAAATATAAAAGTGATAGTAATATATAAGCCCTTTATAACATATAGTAGATCAAACACATGTTTGCACAAGGAACAGCTAAGGTTCTCCTTGATAAGGCAGTAACATTAGTAGCATTTCAAACATTAACATCAGCCCACTGTAAAGCATATGCATGTTAAATATCTTAAAATAATCTCATTATATTGTTTCAGTACACCATTCTAAAACATTTCTAGTAAAGGTAAGATTTTCATTAACTATTTGCATTACGAGCATGTTCCCATCTTGCTTTATGTCTCCATTTTCCTGTATATGTATGTCTTGCCCTTTAATAGCGTCTAATTTACTTTGCATGGGACAGTTAACCTCTGGGGCTCACTAGCTGTTTAACACCGAGTATGACAAGTCAGATACGTATTTTTTCAGGGCTAGAGTTACAACTCTCCTTTTGTCCAGTTTAATTTTCTGGGAACCAGCTGAATAGGTAATCTTGAGAACACTTAGATTCATAGCCAGTATCATTATATCTTGAACTAACGTTCTACCAGTAAGTGCACAACGTAATCCTGTTTCATGCCTTGACCCATTAAAGGTTAGAACTGTCAGAGCATTATTTTCCCTTTTTTAACTTTTGAGAATACATTTTTAAAGACAATTACTACTAACAATTATCACAGCTGTGCAATGAATCACCCCATTGTCCACAACTGGCCCATTTTACTCTTAGTAAAGTACAATTGCACTACTTAGACTTTTTTGTAAAAGATCTCAGTTATTCTTCACATCCTTCTGCCTCTGTGTCTCACAACCACTCAAATATATATTACTTTTTAGAATTAGGCAGTCACATGCACAACAGAATGGCTTGGGGGGGACACCCATCTAAAAGTTAAGCACCTCATTTAAGTTAATCTAAGTCCCCTTTCTGGTCAATAAAGAAAGAGATTCATATATCCTGTTCTCAGGCCGGTAGGAAGGACCAATTACACTGTGAAGACTTCTTTCTCTTCCCTTTATCTCCAGAGGGAATAGGGTTGACTAGGCTGGACTAGGCACACGTGTTTTGAGAAGTTAAAACTATGGAAAATGAATTTCACTCAAAGTTGTATGTCAGGAAAGAGCATGGGATAGTCCCTTATTTTGTTCAGGGTACTGAAATAATTGACAATGTTACTTTCATCATGATGCATTACCTGCTTTTTTATATGTACCCCTCTAACAATGATTTTGCACTGGTAAAGAGTCAGACCAGAAAGTGATGGATTTGAACACTTGATGGTGGTATGCAGTAAAGCGAATATAATGAGGATGACTATCTCTGCTAGTGAACACTTCTGTACAAAAGAAAGAAAAGTAACGAATTATTCTTGAAAATGAACACATCCAAGTAAAACAGAAAAAATAAGGCCAGACTGTAATTATTGTGAGAATTTATTCTTCAATTAAAGGTAGAAAAATACATAGGAGGCTTTACCTACTATTAGTTTTCCAGATAGGAAGTGTCATGTCTTAAAAAAAGTTTGACATGTCTTAATGGAAGCATGAGCAGAATGGGAGAAGTGTACCATATCCCTATTAAGTTAAGAGATACCATATGAAAAAAATGAAATACACTTAAGAGCTACAGCACAGAAACATGAGTAACTGTGTCACATATAGGTCAAAACCCACTAGGTGAATGGGATCTTTGGCATTAGGCAGCATCTATCTTTTGCTCATCATGTTAACACAAGTCAAATATCTTTTTCTTTAGTGGCTGCATCTGAATATTTTTGCCATTTTTTTTTTTTGAACATTAAATTCACTGCTGCTACTGTATGTTCTACAGAGCTGCTTATTTACTGTACTGTTTCCTTCCTTCTTTGTAAATATTCCAATTAGTGATTCCTAAGGCTGTAGGATGTGTCTCATCAACGGGTAAAAGTGGGATAATATCTCTTCTGTGAGCAGCTACACAGTAAGGGTTTGCTAATTCTGGCTCTGACTGCTGTAGTCACATCTACAATGTGTCAGCCATGATGACATTTTAATTCAGAAAGCAACATATGTTTCATTTTCATTTATTGCAATCACTTTCAAAGTACTTACAATGAAAACATTAAAACCGTGCAATGATTCAAAATGTATTTAGTTTAGCCCTTGTGTAGATACTAGATGTTCTTTGACAGTATAAGTAGTATAAGCTAATTAGCTGGTAACGTAGTTGGTACTATACAAAATGAGAAAGAACCAAAATTCCAAAGCCTTGGATGTAAATTATGTAACTATTCTGACTATAGGGTATGTGCTTATTTTCATTTTGTGCCTGAACAGTTCTGTATAGCAACACGAAATATCCAAGATCACCGTTATTCTTAGCATATAAATTAAATAGTGAGAACAATGGTGGTTCCCTTTAAAAGTTTCATTATTTGCATTCTGTGAAAGACACCACCATAACAGACTGCTGGAAATGGGGAGTATGAACTGGTGGAAGTATATTTTTACCTTTTCCAGCATTCTTCCCTAGGCATGTACCAGAGGTTACTTCAGAGTGAGAAACAGGGCTAGATAGATCTTGGCAGTCAAACCTAGTATAACTTAGTATCTGGTTTTGGTAAGGATAATTATTTTAGTGTGTGTAAATAGTTCTTTAGTGAGTAGTTTAGTAGCCAATTTTGTAGTTAGTGTCAAAATAGCAGACTCTCCAGAAACGGATTCATGTAAGAAAAGATCATATAAGATCATATAAGCTGCTTACATATACATCCCTGAAAACCCTAAATGTGCTATGTAAGAAGGGTTGGAGTGTGGTGGGGGAGATAATGATATGCTCTACGACTTTACATGATTTCTTTAGAGGCTCACTTTGGCTTTTATCGAGTAGAAAAATCGGTTCACATTATCCTTCTCCATCAGGAACATAACCTGTGATATGTTCCTTCAGTTAGGGATCATGCAAGTCTTACTTTTATGGTTGTAAGTCACGGGTAACATAAAAAAGAAAATTGTGATGAAGTTTCATCCTGATCTTGCAATACTTTTCCTCGTAAAATTTTAATTGAAGAAATACAAGGAAAATATTTTCCTAAATTAGGGCCTTCTAATGCTTCATTTGAAAATACTTCTTCCTTTCCTAATATTTTCCCTCACATTTGACAATGCAAAGTAATATTTACTTGGCTGGGGTATCCAGCACCATAAAGGATTTGCTATGAGTTCTTCCAGGTTAGTTGGCTGATGAGACAGGAGCTGACAGAGAGCAAGAAAGAGAAAAGGGAAAGACAAAGGGAAATGTGGATAAGAAATAAATACAGGGAAGAGACCGGACACCAAGAGGTCGGAAGCAGCAACTTGGAGGGGAGTTAGAAAGCTATGAGGACCACAAAGGGAGCGGGATGAGCTCCTCCTGCAGCCCCGGTACCCCAGAGGCTGAATGTCCCTCTTGTGGGAGAGAAGCTGAAGGCAGGTGGGCAAGGCAGGGAGACAGATGAGAACTTCATCTCTATGTGTATACTGTGTGCTACAGGCAATAACAAAATGGTGGACTTCATCCCGCAAAAAACACCTCGTCTCCAGAGACGGAGGCTTATCTACGTCAGATGATGCAAGTACACCTCATGCTGGTACCAAGGTACCAAGGTACCAAGGTTTTCTGATTTGGACATTCACAGATTCTCATATATTTATTAAAAAAAATATATGCTATAGCTGAATATCACCTATAGTTTTCAATACCATGGTATAGAACAGTAGCTCTTAGAATATCCCAGTGTGATTGCAGCAAATTTCAAGTAACTGAAATTGGTATTGTGTAATTAATCAATTTATATGAACTGTTGCAGTTGTAGCATTTCTTGGGACTCTTAATAGGTAATCGTGTAGCCAAGTTTCAGATCCAAATCTGAGTACACTGATTTTCTTTTTAAATAGCAATAATTCAGAAAAGGCTAAAGAAGGAAAAGAAGGCAAAGAGGAAATTGCAGGAAGCACTTGAATTTGAGACTAAACGAAGGGAGCAAGCAGAACAGACGCTGAAACAGGCAACTTCAACAGACAGTCTCAGGGTCCTAAATGGTAAGAAGCCAATTTTTGCCTCTTTGTCATTAGCTTTCAATTTAAGTGCCAAAAGCAGCTTGTTATATTGAAAACTTATAACATGATGGGAGGGAAAAAAAAGAAAATCTCTTTTCTTTCCTTCATTCAAGTGATGACTTTCTATTGTTTTGTTACTTTATACAGTATGTGCAAATAAACTCACTGGAGAGAATGTTCAAACTAGGACAATTTTATATTATTAGCTTGAGAAGTCAATTTTTTTTTGCTGCTTCTTTTTCTCCCCCCGCTTTATGCTTGAAAAATCTATTGCTCATTAATCTTCCTAGTCTAACAAAAAATTGTCCTGGCCTCCAGTCATTGTTCAACATTAAAAAAACTGACAAAGGTTGATTGTATTGTAATTCAGCATTGGAGTAACAGGTTGTAAAAAAGGCTATAAGAATCCAATGAAATATGTGTCAGTCTTACCTTTCTATGTTTCTAGACTCTCTGACCCCAGAGATAGAAGCTGACCGCAGCGGGGGCAGAACAGATGCTGAAAGGACAATACAAGGTAGGAATTTGCAAAAGGCTATAAATCTAGATCTTGCTATATGAGTTTTTCCTCAGCTTTAGACTGCTATTCAAGCATGTAGCCTACCATCTGGGCCACATCAAAACAAGTTCAAACAAGGTCAAGTTCATCTTGCTTGTTTATAAGAGAGAATACATTCTGTGCTGATAGATTTTCTTTAAATTAATAGGTCATTTCTGTTTATACAGAGCAATTAAAGAAGAAAAATTAATTTGAAGCAATATTGGGTTGAATCTCAGACATGCTGAACGCAGTTTTAGTGACTATGTATAGTTAGATTTGAGATAACAATGTTTTTAAACGTATATTTGCAACATTTTGAGCCTTTTAACTATACAAACGGCTAAACCTAATCGGTAACATTCAAGACATGATGAAAATTTCATAGCTAATATTCAGTGGCCATTACTGAAAGGTATGTTTCAATAAACTACTCTGAGCATTAACAATAAATACTCTGTTTATTTCCTTCTTGGATTTTTCATTTACCATATCCCATTATTTACATTTTAATAAAACAAATTTGCTGAGTAAATTTATACATAAAATACTAAAGAGCGCCATATTACTTCCCCCGTGAATCTAAATGTATATATATTGCGAGATACCAAGATACTAGTAAAGAGCAAATTTTTAAGATAGTGTTTATGTTATAATATCTTCTCTAGTCAACAGGCTAAATCTACCTACGTGAATACTAAACAGTAAAAATAGCATTTGTTTTCAATTGTAAATTAAGGTGCATTTTTCAGAGGCAAGCCTAAAATGATTAGCTCCAGTAATCACTCTCAATTGCATTTTTACTTTGCATTTCGAAGTCAATCATCTTAACAGTATCATTTGACATCTTCTGTGTGCTATTTAATCACTTTTTCTAATTCCTAAAGAGCTGTTACTGGTGTGTCACAAGGAGGCTGTAACAGCAGAATAAAAAATCAACAACTTTTAATGTATTGAGCATATAAGCAAATAGAAAAGAGGCAATAAGTTCTTATGCAGGACAAACCCATGCATATAAACAAAAACATTTAGATTTAAAACAAGTTATGTCTGCAAAGTCAATAACTCCAAAGTTGGAGCATGCCAGATTAAACGTTGCCTGGGAAGTGTGTACATATTATGAGGTTGGTTATTCCAGAATCCTACTTTCTTTCCCATAAAACGTATGCCTTATTCAAAGCACCATTTGACATAATTCATTTAGTAAGAAATGAGTCATTATGTCATTTTGTTATAATCCAGTCATTTTTTTTATTTTGTTTGCTGCAAAGACAGACTTCTAATTTCTTGGGAGGCCATTCTATTATTCTAGTCACCGCAGTATCTGAGCTCTTGCAAACCTTAATTACTTTATCTTCAGAGCATTACCTCAAGGAAGTGAAGTTTGGAGCATTCCCATTTGAAAGCTGGGAAATAGAGTCACAGAAAGATTAAGGTGACCGATTGCTTAACTTCTGAGTAGCTAGGACCTATTTTTTCAGGATACTTTGCATTCTTGACAAATGTATTCAGTGTAGTTAAAATCACTGTTCCTGTTAAATTCAGTTTCATTTATGGACTAAGATATCAAGCTGGATATTTATAAAATGAACAACACATAATTACTGAATATTTTGGAAGTAAGTATTCTAAAGAACTTATCCCAAACTACATACGAACAGCACTTCAGCTTTTTAAACATGATTATCCATTCTTTTCCAGCTATCCTCTGCCTGCTTACCCTCATTTCACATATTTCCATTTCTGCAACAAATGAAATCAAGGACTTACAAGCAACATTCTCAGTAATGATGACCTTTCCTTGATTCATGTGTCCAAGGTGGTGCAAGGAAAAAAAAAACCCAACACATAGGTGATTATTTAATTAAATACCGGACCATAATATATTCTGATCGTGATATTGGATCACGTTGCAGAGGCAACCTTAATTCTGACATTTTTTGTCTCTACTTTGCAGTCTTAACTTATAATTAAAATAGGGTTTTTTTAAGGAAAAGGAAAAAAGAAGCAAGAAATAGAGTTGCGATTTTTTATCATTTAATATATTCAGCTTAATTGTCATACAACAGTTCAGAACTTTTAGACCTACCACAATATATAACCCTACAACACAAATGTAACTGTAGGAGCTTATTGTCCTTGTGGATCAGGTATTATAGGCTGGCAGGTTTCAGAAATATTTCAAGAAATAGTTAATGGTGGACAAGTAATGCTAAATGTCAGGACTCTGTGTTCAGTTCCAATACTGGAAGGAGGATTCCCTTTCACATAAACCCCCTTTTCTCTGTGTCCCCCTTAGCACGTATCCCTGTATCTCTGTGTCCCAGTTTTTTCTAGTTTCTTCCTTCTTACTCCAGTTCCACCTTTTGTCGATGGCTAACCTCACTCCTTGCTCTACATTACATTGTGTTTCTTTTTTCCCAACTTCACATTCTTCCAGCGTTCTCTTCTGAACTGTTCCATGCCACCCTGATTTTTTCTATAACTACAAGCTCTTCCTCTTCTCAGTGATGCCCAGCTCCCTGTTTCTGTCTGACCCATCCTGTTGCCTCCTCCTCTTGTCCAGCCATTTCAAGAGCTGTATTGACGTTCCCCATTACCAGCCTTTCCCCTTTGGTACCACATCTCCATCTGTATTCTCCCCTTCCCCTCTGCCTCCCTATCAAGCTCATGTTCCCTACTGCTTTCAGTACACATTCCGTTTCTTCTTCTGCATCTGTCTGGATATCAGGGAGGGAAGCACCGAGAGAAAAGTAAAGACAATTCCTCTGTTCTTGTCTCAATATTTAGCATGGCAATTGTTTGCAGGAATGAGGAGAGAGAGTTGCAGGGAAAGAACTGCTTCATTCCTGCAGCACTGGAATAAAGCATGCTCAGTACAGATGGGCTCCTTCGAGAATTTAGCTGCAAAACTCTACAAAAGCTTTCCGTTTGGTGAAAGGGTTGGTATTTTTCCAACACTTTTCTGAATTTTCATCAGGGCAACAAAGACCATGTCTTTCCAATTTTGCAAAATTTCAATTATGTCCTTAGATTTTTTTTCTATAAATGATATTTTGTATACTCTAGTATGCACTGTATAAGAATTATTCTATAAAATATGCAATATATTCCATAATAAAGAATATAATATTGCCTCTTTCATGCTTCAGGTTACTTACTAGGGAAATATTTATGCCTTTCTTATTCCTCTCAAAAATAAATCTGTATCTCGGTATCAAAGCTATCTGAGGTAGTAGTCTCTTTATCCACAATCATTAATTTTTTTCAGCTTACTGTATTAAATGTGATGCAGTTCTATAGCTAAGCAAACAAAAGTAGGAAAGCTGCAGCATTCTGTGGGGAAGTGAAATAATTGAAATACCAAGTGTAATTTCAGCATTTAAGAAAATATTACACAAGGAAATCATAATTAAAAATAAAGATTTTATCTACTATTTATTATAAGTAACAGGATGCTTGTCAACTTGAAGTTATATTTAATGTTGATATTTTTAGCTGTCACTTCTGTGAGGAAGGAATAGGACTTATTTAAGATAATTGCATTTGTCAATAAGTAGGGTATGTTCTGTTCTATTTTTCAGCATGTAGCATTCATTTAGATTCACTTTTAGTTCATGTAAAGTCTTTTGTAAAATTGGAGAGATAATAAAGAGAAATTTGAATACAAAACTATAAAAAGAAGCAATAAGGGATATTTAGGGTTGTTTGGTTTTTTTTTTTTAAGTACTGGGTAGATTGCTAAAAAATAATCATAAAAAATAACCCAATTATGGGTCTTAAATATATTTACATATTTTTTAACAGATACAAACAGATACTAAGTTATTAGGAACTGGTGTAGACACTGGTTTTAAATGTTTTCTTTCTTGCTTCTGTTTAAAATAATAATAAAGCAGATTATCCTCTTCTCCATACATATTGTAGGTTCACTAGATGCCTATGCCTAGCTCCCAATCCGGTTTCCCAAGACCCCCTCATCCCACACAAAAAGGTACCATACAAAGATAATGTTTGACTTTTATATACTGTTTTGTTACCAGACCTCTTACTAAGCACTAGAACAATGACATTTACTGCCGCTCTTACTTTCTTATTTCCATTGACTTTTTCTTCCCCATCTAACCATCTAATACTTACCATGTATTTGTCTGCCTACACATTCTTAATTTTTCTTTTCCGCTATAAATCCCACATTCACAATTTTCTGTCTCCTAGTAGATTCCCTCCCAAGTCCTGTACATTCATTTTCATTCCATTTAATCACCACTCCCTTTACACATTGTCTAAATTAATCTAAAAATTTCTGCTGCACTGTCTTCGCCATTGACTATTCTTTTCATATGGTGTCCCTGTCATGTCTTCCTTTTCCCAAATCACTCCCAAATTGTTTCGTGCTTTTCTCCCAAAGGTATCCTGATAAGAACAGGAAGCTTAAACAAATGTTCGGCCTCTCAGGCTGCTATTTTGTTTAGCTTCTCCATTTCTTTCCTATTTTCTAGCCATTGCCTCAGCCTGTATCTTTTCTACTTTCTTCCAATAATTTCCAACTTCTACATGCCGTCATTCCAGCTTCTTCTGAAACCAGCTCCATCATTTTCTGCTAACAGTCTTCTCACCCTGTTCAGTTCCCATGAATTCTCAGGCCTATCTCTTTTTTTTTTAACCAAATGCCTGTATTTCAAGAGACCCTTTGCACTTTGTCTGTCCTGAAAGCTTTCCTGTCCCGCTCCGTTCTTTCAATTTTTCCCTTATTACACATTCTCCTCTAGTGCAAATCTTATTCCTTTTGTCCATCATTCAGAATTTCATACCTCAATTCCCTGTTCTGCTGCAAATATTTTTTTCCTTCTAACCTTTCTCCAAACGAGTCTGTTACCTTAGTTTCCCTGTCCTTTAACAAAATGAACTTACGCTTTCTAAGCCCTTTCCCACCCATTGTTTCTTCTCACCTTTTTCTAGTTCTCCACATCTTCTCT